ATACCCACTGCTCTGACTTGTTCTGCTTAAATACATGCTTGTTGGTGACCCTGCACTTCCTTTGATATGCAGGTGCCTAATTTTCTGAGGGTATACTCCAACCAATCCATACCCACTGCTCTGACTTGTTCTGCTTAAATACATGCTTGTTGGTGACCCTGCACTTCCTTTGATATGCAGGTGCCTAATTTTCTGAGGGTATACTCCAACCAATCCATACCCACTGCTCTGACTTGTTCTGCTTAAATACATGCTTGTTGGTGTCCCTGTCTGTCCATCAGATCCTGAGCAACTTTCTCAAGCACTTGTTGGTGACAACCTAGATGCTCCAGCATTTTGTAAAGAATGCTCTAGAAGAACCCACGCCAGCTGCATCACGACCAAACAATCCACAAGGAGCGAACAAACCCAGGAGTCTCTGTCCACCTCCGAGGACATGCTGACGATGGTCCTCTACTACTGTTGCCAGCAAAGTTTTTGATAACAATGTCTTGAACCTGCTTTCTGTAATCTGTCGCAGCTTCATCGGTTTGACGAAACAGCCTGCACCGGTCGGCGACAGTCTGCTTTATGTGTTCGACTACTCAGATGTGTGCTAGATGCCAATCTATAAGCCAGACAAAGACCAGTTTGAGTTGAGCGTGAGTTTTGAGTCTGGCAACCTTAGCCAGACTACTCGTAAATGAGTATCTCACACGTCAGAAAAGGAACGACCAAAGAGCAAGAAGACCTTGTCATGATCTGCATTAATCTTCAGGGTGTACTTTTGGCACTTTCTATCAATACCTCCTGCTCTTATTTCAAAAGCGTAGACATAATCTTCACTGTGACCTCGCATGGTATAATTTATTTTGAATGACACGAGGGTCAAAGGCTTTGGAAGAGACCATGCCAGCTTGCATCATCGCCCAACAGATGGACCCAGTTCCAGCCACAGCTCCTTTTGTTAATTTTCCCACTTCTGTGCCCAGCAGTCCAGGGGCTGGCTGGTGAGATAATTCGGAAGACGGAAGTTGGTTTCCGTGTCGGCCGAGCGTCGAGGAGGAGGTGAGGGCTCCGGCCGTGCTCTCCAGTGCGCGTGAGATCCGTTCCCTGCAGCCCTCCTTTGAAGACGGTAATTAACGCTATTTCCCGCCATCAAATCTCTCTCTCTCTCTCTCTCTCTCTCTCTCTCTCTCTCTC